ACCGTTTTGGTGGCCTTAGGATTGCGTCTCTGCTTTTTGCAGATGATGTGGTCCTATTGGCTTCATCAGATCGTGATCTACAGTTTTCGCTGGAGAGGTTCGCAGCCGAATGCGATGCGGCTGGGATGAAGATCAGTTCCTCGAAATCCGAGGCCATGGTCTTGAGCCAGAAAAGGGTAGAGTGCCCTCTCCGGGTCAGGGAGGAGGTCCTACCCCAATTGGAGGAGTTTAAGTATCTTGGGGTCTCGTTCACGAATGAGGGAAAAATGGAGCGTGAGATCGATAGGCGGATAGGTGCAACGTCTGCAGTGAAGCAGGTGCTGTACAGGTCTGTCATGGTGAAGAGAGAGCTGAGTCAAAAGGCAAAGCTCTCAATTTACCGATCGATCTACATTCCTACCCTCATCTATAGTCACGAGCTTTGGGTTGTGACCAAAAGAATAAGATCTCGGATGCAAGCGGCCAAAATGAGTTTTCTCCGCAGGGTGTCTGGGCTCTCCCTTAGAAATAGGGTGAGAAGCTCGATCATCCGGGAGGGACTCCGAGTAGAGCCGCTGCTTCTCCACGTCGAGAGGAGCCAGTTGAGGTGGCTTGGGCATCTGTTTAGGATGCCTCCTGGACGCCTCCCTGGTGAGGTGTTCCGGACACGTCCCATCGTGAGGAGGCCCGGAGGAAGACCCAGGACATGCTGGAGGGACTATGTTTCTCGGCTGGCTTGGGAACGCCTCGGGATTCCCCCCGGAGGAGCTGGCCCAAGTGGCTGGGGAGAGGGAAGTCTGGGCCTCCCTACTTCGGCTGCTACCCCCACGACCCGACCCCGGATAAGCGGAAGAAAATGGATGGATGGATGGATGCGACTCTGCTTTATGACATAGGCGGGGCTCTGTTTTATCGACTTTTGAAGCAGACGGCGGCAGCAGTTTCGACCATGGTAAAGCTTCAGAGTCCGTGTGAAGGTCTGGTCCACGCTGTGGGAACTTCGAATCGTCTGGTTTACGAGCTTAACCTTAAGGTGGAGGCGATTGAGAATTGCAGGCCACCTGCGGCTTCTGGGACTCGTCAGCGTGGTGGGTTCGACCTTGAAGGAGACTCATAGCATGGATCAGTGGAATGGAATCCCACAATTAGGCATTTTTGGAACCAGAACGCCCAGATGGACTCAAGGCTGAAGAAAAAAGTAATGTCTGCTTGAAGAAAAAACAAGAATCAAGCTTATCTAAATCGGACTCCCGACGGCCTCGGAGACAGGCCGACTATCAATTTCTCCTGGGACATGAGTACCCAAGGACAAAAGCGTCATCTATTGTGTGCGCACCCCCCCCCCCCCGAGAACTTTCTGTGCAATCTTATCAGAACTGCTGGCTGGAACAAGATCTTCAGAAATTGTGGCTGATCTGAAAAAACGCTCATGGACAAATCTCAACACCTTGATGTCAAATGCAAATGTATTCATGTTGTAATTGTGCTTGCTGGTAGTTTTTTTGATGTCTCAAATCGTGTCCTGATAGACAAGATGTGAAAGATCTTTATTTGTAATACCACTATCTACCCTCATGTTTCTACCCCTTTTCCTATCTAAGATTATTATCTGATAAGGATAAAACGGCCGCGCTTTCTACAGTTGCAGCTTTGTGCACTCCGCCCATCTTTCGGACGACTGTACGTACATATTCGCGTTGTACCTCGGTGCAATTCCAATAAAGTTTATTCTGATTCTGATTCAAATCCCATTGAGATCACCAATCTCTTTTGCAAGGGAGGCCTGGACCTGAAGGCAGCCTAACATGCATGTTTTTGGTCTGTGGGAGGAAACCGGAGTACATGGAGAAAACCTACACAAGCATGGGAAGAACATGCAAACTCCACACAGAAAGACCCCAGGTCCAACCAGGGATTGAACCCAGGACCTTCTTGATGTGAGGCAACAGTGCTAACCACTGAGCCGTCATGCTGCTATCCAGTTTAGGGTGATTTATTTGCCGTTTTTCTTTTGGTATTTATACACAGCAGTTTAAAGCGCAAACAGAAGTTCAAGGCTCAGCAAAAGCTGCAAGACTCCATCAGAAACAAACTCTGACCGACACACGCAGCTCTGCACTTTGTTTACATAGAGTGGTGAGTTCACCAGCGTCACAGCCACGGTGCATTCAAGAGCATAGGAAATATGAAATTCAGAAAAAAACGAGTCGTAACAAAACAGACCCAAGCTCAATAAACAAGCTAACCACACCAATGTGGGCTTTCTAACAGCTTTGTTAATAAAGGTTGAATTATAAGACTTCATTAGAATCAGACTTCTAAAGAGCAAGTCAGCCTTTCATTATGTTTGGCATGTTTGGCATGTTTTCTGTTTAAATTTTAAGTGCACAGCTGTGTTTTTGGTTTTATTATAGAGGATTTAATTTTTTTTAATCATTATTTATTTATTTTTTTTAAGATATTTATTTTGTACAGTTACAGCTTTGTTAAGCTGTGTGACAATTAGGACAAAGCTGTGACTCAAATATATTTTTGTTATTACTTTATGGGAAAAAAAAAAATCAAGATATATATCATATATTGCCATTTATCTTAAAATATCAAGATCTTAATTTTGGTCCATATCGTCCAGCCCTTACACCACCAGTGATCTTGTTGGACCCGCCTTAGAGTAGATCCTACTCCTAAAGATTTGATTCCCAAGACCGGCACAATAAAACTTGTGTAGGAAAGGTGAAACACCCATTTCTGCCTCCACCCTCATATGGCCCACTGTGGATCCTGAGCAAGACCTAGAGCTGGGCGATATCTTGACATTTTAAAAATATTTATAGAAATTATTTTTGCAATATAAGATGAGACTAATTCGATATAAACAATATTATACTTGAAAATCTGCCTGCTTTTCTTTCTCCCATGCGGCCCACCTCCTTCTCCCTCCTTGAATACAAACCCACACAGCCCCCTCCTCCCTCCTTTAGCCATGCTCTCCCAGCTTCAGCTTCTCTAGTATGGAAGCAAAAGTCTCAATTTTCAAATTTAAATGGATTAATAAAAATGCTTTTCATTTTCAAAATAAAGCTACATGTTTTGACTCATAAAATTAAAAATAAATAATCCAAACTGCATTTTCATATTAATGACAGCTTAATTTGTAAATTAATTAAAATAATAAAATAACTTAACATTTAATTTTCAAAATATATCAATGTAAAAAGTGACCAAAATTCATTTTGAAATGTCAAATTTGAAAATTAAAATGAATTGGCTGAAATCCTTTTTCATTTCAAAATAAAGCTGCATGTTTTGACTCAAACAAAATTGCTAACAGATCATCCAAACTGGGTTTTCATTTTCATCTCAACACTGCTCATTGTGTGACAACAGAGGAACTAAAGCCCACAGTATACTCCC